GGAATTTCCTGAGGAGACATTCTTGAACTACTTTTATAGCTTCTTCCAGTGCGGCCCCCCAGCCAATATGATTTGATATTGGTTTATTTTTTTTATAGATTTTTGTATCAGCATCGATGTTGAACCTCTGGTATAGTGTGATGTCTAAAGAAGTTAACCAGCTCGCTGCTTCTGCTGTGGGCACTGTGACGTCATCCAAGGTGCCTTGAAAATTTTGGAATTTCCTGAGGAGACATTCTTGAACTACTTTTATAGCTTGTTCCAGTGCAGCCCCCCAGCCAATATGATTTGATATTGGTTTTTTTTTTTTTATAGATTTTTGTATCGATGTTGAACCTCTGGTATAGTGTGATGTCTAAAGAAGTTAACCAGCTCGCTACTTCTGCTGTGGGCACTGTGACGTCATCCAAGGTGCCTTGAAAAATTTGGAATTCCCTGAGATGCGTTCTTGAACTATATGTACTTAATAGCTTTTTCCAGTGCATTCCAGTCCCATTGCAGCCCCTCGACCTATAGGGTTTGATATTGATTTATTTTTTATTGATTTTTGTATCAGTGTTGATAATGATCCTGTCCATCTCTCAGAGATTTGATTTTTCAACTACTTTATAGATTTGTTTTTTTATTTTGTTTTATTCTGCTCATTCCGTCTAAATCCTGAAGGCAACTCTGTGCATTGTTTTCCTTCTTCCCAGGGTAGTCTACAGCCCTGGAGTTTCTCTAGGGGGTCTCCGGTGTGAGACGGTTTCATGAACATGTCTAAGGATCCGGCTCAAAGGCCCAAATGTGTGCGCGCGCACACACACACACACACACACACAAACAAACATACACAGATGTAGCCCTAGACAATTCTTCATTCAGTTCAGCCAAGTGGGCCAAGTGCAGTCAAGCAAAAAGTTAGCGACCTATTATCTAAATTATCACTGTTATCATGTTCATGATCATGCCTAGAAAACAATTCACAAATATCTGACTAACCAAATTGTTAAACAGTAGTCTATCTAATTCAATAATTATATATAGTATGATATACATTGTGTATTACACTATATGCAACCTATTTTGGTAGTGACGACAGGATTTCAATAACACTTACCTGTATAGTTTACGTTACATTTAATTATAAAATTCAAATCTTCTAGAGCTGGAATAATTTTGTTTTGGTAAACAAATATTAAGTGTCTGTGCCAATAGGCATTAGCCAGAAATGGTTCCAAATGTATTGCCTACAAAGATAATAACATAATTAATCAATATGATTACTTTATTTCTGCACTATTTCTACAGTTCAATACTGTAGAAGAAAATATTATAAATATTGAACTGATGAGAAATATTATTTAAATATTATTAGTTCCACATAGGGGAAAATCAGTTTGTGTTTGTATTCTTATCATATGGTGTCCTTTATATTTCTTCATCTAATTGCTCATTACCTTTTTTCATGCAAATTACCACACATTTATTCCATGACATAAATTCTCTGGCACAGAGCTCTAGTTTTGTGTTTTCTTGCTTATATCTCTTGTCAACCTCCTTTCTAATGATTGTATGTGTACACATATATACATATGTGCACATGAAAGCAAATACATGTGGAAACACTATGACATTATCTGCTAAATAGTTTAGAATACAAAAATGTTAAAAACTGGAAGGTTTTCTTTTGAAAAGTGAAGAGGAAGAAGCAACCATGGAAATCTTTAGCTATACAATAAGTTAAATAAAATTTATGAGCAAAATATGTTTTAAACAAACTTTTTCTAAGTCATCCAAAGCTGACTGCATTTTTCCAATCTTTCTGTATATTGCTCCACGACGACAATAGTTAAACGCTGTAGCGCATCCTTTATTTATCTCTTGAGTTATTCTCTCAATCTCCTGCTCACACTGTTCAAGTTCTTCTTTTTTGCCATCAAATAGAAAAGGATTCACATAGTTTGGTAATTCTCTTTCTTTCGTAACATCCTCAATTTCCTGTGTCAAAAGATGTTTGCCTAACATCTGTTTATCTTCATCAGATTTGTTTTTGGAAACAAACCGCTCCTCAAACCATTTATTCCACACTAGCCTGGCCCAAAGATAATCAGAATCTTCAGATCCTTTACCCTGTTTTTGGGCAAATGTTTCAAAGTTTAACAAATAAGGGAGGCTGGGGTTTCTATAAAGTTGAATTGCTCGAGATACTTTAATAGAGTATTTTTTATGCATATGAAGATTCTGAAGAATCAGAGACGTAGACCTAAAAAGGAGAAGCAAAATTACGATCAATGTGTAACTGAGGTAATGATTACTGAAATAAATATTATAAACTGCAAAATTTAATAGCTTGTAATTTATGTATTTATCACTTTATACCACTTCAACCTAAAAACAGATTTAAGATGCCACAGGACTACCCAGATTAAGTACATAATATTAAAGTTATGGTAAGAAAATTTCTAATGGAAACACAAGTAGAATTATCCATTAGTATGGAAGTATATAACTTTGTAATCATGTAGAATAATATACATATACCCCACAAATAAATAATTGATTTGATGTAGATAATTCAATCTATTTTGCAAGTTCAAAGGGAAACTCGAAATAGTATCTCCCTCAGTGAACTAGGATGATTCTTTAAAATAAAAGATTCATTTTACCCCTACAAAGACAATCCCATATAGCTTGAACAGCACTTTCATTTTTGCACATATGTTTTCATTCAAACTTCCCTTTCATAGCAGCAGGGTCCTGAATTAATTTCCTATGCTTAGATAACTTGTCTGCTGTATATAATGCCAGTTCAGGTGAAGTGACAGATGCCCCTGAGTTAGGCATTAATGGTGAGGATCTCTATTGAGAAAGAAGCATGAAAGAAAAATCTTATTTTGATCAATGGAAGAATTCCTTGAACGAGGGCATAACCAGAGCAAGAACTATCTAGTACGGTATACATGCCCACAAATAGACAATGTAACATCACATGAGCCAGTGACAGAGAATATCATCTATTCTGACTGATGCTAGAGAGATTTATGTGCAAGCACCTCACATTTACAGAATTGCAGCAGCAGTTAACAAAGTGCATATCATTGCTCCTACAGACTGGATAAACTGAAAGGAAGAGATGGTCTCATTCAGAGGTCAAGAAATTGTTGGAATAGAAATCTTGTACTATGTAGCCAGATCAGTCAATGATGTAATAAGCAGTTAAAACCCAGCTGGCTGGATATTAAGGGAAATGATAGCCTAGAGAAAAAGGAACAAAATAATATGCAGTGCACATTTAAAGAAAATTCCCAGGGATGTGGAGAGGCCAACATTTGTGCATGGATGCATCAGTCACAGTATAAAATGAAGAAAAAGTGTGAAGGTATAATATAGATAGCAATAGCACTTAGACTTAGTGCATATACTGCTCCACAGTGCTTTACAGACCCCTCTGAGGAGTTTACAGAGTCAGCATATTGCCCTCTACAATCTGGGTCCTCATTTTATCCATCGTGGAAGGATGGAAGGATGAGTCAACCTTGAGCCTGGTGAGGTTCAATCTGCCAAATTGCAGGCAGCCAACTGTCAGCAGAAGTATTCTCCAGTACTGCATTTTAACCATTGCGCCACTACAGCTCATAACTTCAGATATATGAAGTTATCCATTCTACAAATCATCTACAAATTTATAGTTATGAGCTAATCCCTTTTTGCAATAAGGGAAGAATGGAAATTAATTCTGAAGAATTTTGAAATGAAAGTGGTTCAAATAATTGTTCAGACAACAAAGGTCCAATAGGTCTGTGGGCATCATCTTAAGGATGACAAAGTTCCTCAAAAAGAAGCTGGCAGTCCTCTGGAGGTGTGTTTGCAATCCCCCTTTTTTTAGAAGGAAAGAAACCTATCAATAGAATTCTGGATTTCTAGAACCAATAAGATGGGTTGGTGTGGATTTAACTAAAAAGTTTATGAATAGTAACAATAATTATTTACAGAAAGTCAAATCATTAAGTTATGGAAGAGCCCTACACCATAGAACCATGCCCTGAGTGGGGGACTTCCAAGATCAAAGGTGCTACTAGGAGTTTTGAGGTTAATGTCTACAGCTATGCTGTGCTGAGTGTGTTGGTGGTATCAGTGTCTGGCTAGTGACCCCAAGTATACTTTTGGTATGCCTTCTGCTTGAAATAGAGAAGGCAACATCTGAGTGGAATCTTGGACAGGAGGAAGAGGAGATAAAATACAGTTGTGCAGCTCACATTTGTACATTTGCTTTATGACACTTTAGAAACATTTTATTTCTGTTGCTGAATAAACCATTTTCATACAAAAGAAAGTCCTCAGTCCTAGACTTAGTCCAAGAATGAGTGACATACAGTATTGTCAGGCACAGCAATCCAGAGCAATGGACAACACCATTACTCTGTTTTTATATTAAGAACTATATTTAATACCTGTGCAAATCATGCTGCTTCTCACAGAAAAACAAACTGAATTGCTTATCTTTTATCTTCTACAAAATGGGATAATAATTCTCCTCCAAAAGATGCCAGTCAATGTGCTGTTAATCATTAATTAATGCAGTTACCAAAATCTTAACACCTATTCTAGCGAAAAAATTATGTCTTTTTTTCAGATATTATTCACTCATCTCAATGTAGCTTTCCACAATTGAGACAAGCTTCGGATAATGTGCTTAATCTGCTAACAAATACACAAAAGAATTAAAACTTCACAGAATTAATTTCATTATATGCTGAGAAGGCCTTTGCCAAGTTCATCTTAATTTTTTAAAATAGAATTCCCTACATATTTTCTTAGATGGATATCAATATATTAGTTTTCAACTACTGCTAGACATTAAAAATCACATGATTTCTAAGTTAGTTGAAATGTAACGTGGTCTTTGACAAATTACCTCAGTAGATGCAACCTGATGGAGATAAAGGAATTTTGAGAAAAGGGACATGCCAGTTTAGAACTAATGGGAAATCTACTTCAAAGAAATGTTCTGCAAAAGAGAAACAATCCTAAAATAGTAAAAAAAAAAAAAAAAAAAAAAAAAACCTGCCCTGAAGTTAATCTAAAACATGGGTGACAGAATTCTAAAACAATATGGAAAGTAAATGTGTGTGTGTGTGTGTGTGTGTGTGTGTGTGTGTGTGTTTGTGTATATATACACACTCATCATCTTCAGGCTGGTGTTTTCGGCTTTGTGCTTGTGCGAGTAAGGCGTGGTCAGAGCTGTTGTCTTTCTATAAATCTTGGTGGGGGTGTGTGGAGTGCTGGCTTTGTTGCTGTAAGTGGGTTGATTGGCAGTGTAGTTGCAGGATTACACAGCCAATCAACCCACTTACAGCAACAAAACCAGGACTCCACACACCACCACCAAGATTTATAGAAAGACGACAGTTCCAACCACACCTTACTCGCACAAGCACAAAGCCGAAAACACCAGCCTGAAGATGATGAGTGGGACCTCGCCAAAACGTTGCCAAGACAATCTTAATCTTACACAGGAAAAGATACAACAAGACCAGCATACCTACACCAGTGAATGTATGTATGTATGTATGTATGTGTGCCTCACTGTATATTAGGGTGTTCCAAGCAATATGATCCACTGATCAGAACTATGAAAAGCCTGGTGCTGAGAAATCCAATGATTTGTTCTAAAAAGCAGCCCAGCATTGCACTAGTGGTATTGGAAAAAGATTGCAGAAATAGAGTGGATGTGAGATGGCCATATGCAAAGTTAACGATCTTGAAACGGCCCAAAAGAAGATCATAGTTTTTCTACTCCAATGATTAAGATGATTGTTTAATGAGAATTCACCATGAATTTTCTCTGGCAAGATCAACTATCATACCTTGAGAAAAGCCAGTAGGAACTGGTAGTATAAAAGTAGGGTTCATCTATAGCAGTGATAGCTAACCTTTTTCTAAAGGGGTACCAAAATTTTGCGTGCTTGTTATCGTGTGTGCATGCGTGCCCACCCACCTGCGCATGCACACATCCCACCCACCTGGGCATGCGCACATGACCCACTCTCACGCATGCACGCCCGACACCCCCATACGGGAAGGGGAGTTTTTGCCCTCCTCAGGCTCTGGATGCTTTCCTAAAGCCTGGAGAGGGTGAAAACGGCCATTTTTGCCCTCCCCGGGCTTCAGGAAAGCCTCCACAGGCTGGGGAGGGCGAAAAACGGCCCAACAGCCCATTGGCCAAAAATCAGCTGGCCGGAGCTGAGGGCTGCCGTGGCGGCAAATATGGCTCCACGTGCCACCTGTGGCATGCATGCCATAGGATTGCCCTCATGGATCTATAGCAAGACTTGCAGTAGCAGAGTTGGAGGTGACCAGCACGGAGAGAAATCTGAAGCTGCCTGAGCCAAAATTGGGCACTTTTTTCTTCTCTTTTCCTGTAGTTGCAATCAAGTAGCCAGGTCTTTTGAAATCATACTGGGTTATTTTCCTCAGGGCTGATCCTGGCACAAGCAGAGATGTGAATATCCTCTGCAAACAATGGAGAATCTGTCTGATCACTCAAAGAAATGAGCATCTGCCGGAAACATACTAAAGAGACTTGGAGGAAAATAAGATGTCTACACATAGTTTATTATTTTCTCCCAAATGGTAGCTTGTAAAAAAGAAGAGCTATCACAAACCTAGCAATGCTTCTAAATATTTAGTTCCTTCATTGTGGCAAAATAAAGCTCGGTTTATATCAATAGGAAGGACATATTTGCTATTGCAATACTAGTGCTTGTGAAATGAGGATTATTTAACAAAAAACAAAAAAACAAAGACGGATGCCTGCAACAGAAAGAATAGGTGCCTTTAGAAATAGCTTTAAGAAAATGTTTTTTTCAGCTGATTTCACTGTCACCCCCACACATTGGTTCCAAACTTGTGCATTAAGACTAACAAAGCTGAGGATCTGGATCTTAGTAACTTTTAGGGGAGCAAATGGAGTTTGCAGCTCCATAGCAATTAATACCACCTTGCTCCAGCCCAGAAATATTATCAGAAGTAATTATTTTCATATGGATAACCTTCATACATCTTCCCCAATCCAAACATATTTAACCAACAGATCTGTGACTTAAATCTGTCCTGTCCAACTGTCTAAATAAATATATAATAAAATTGTTATTAAATGTACAACCTTTTAAGAACTTTTGGAGGTTCATTTAATTTTTGAAATATACTATCCAATACTTTGGGAGTAATACTTTTCCCTAATTTCAATGATCTTCTTTTTTTCTTTGGAAAAATGATGTACTTAATTCCAGCTTTTCGACATTCATCAGCAAGAGCAGTCTGATCTATTTCACCTGGAGCAGGCACTGGTTCAAAAAGATTTCCTTTAGGCAGTTTTAGTGGACTTCCTGTAAGTGTTTCAGGACCTTTCTCTGGATTTATAGGTGCTTTTGAAGGGTGAAAACTAATTCCTGAAAGGTTAGCAGGAAAACTATGCTTTTTTAGAGTAGGTTCAGCTTCTGGTACTGCAGCAGTAGGTTTTGCTAAAGGAACATGCTTGCTCATGATATCAAGCTCTTCCATAGCAGTATTGAAATTTGCAGAAAACTTTATAAGTGTTTTGTCTCTGTATGAAGACAACTCTGGTGCACTAGTTGTCCTTTTAAGCGAATGTCCCTGCAAGAAAATAAATTTTACTTTATGGACATCATTTTGGAAAACCTATTGATTTGTAATACAATTAAAATACTCTTTAACCAAATTTCCATGTGAATGTTACTGTTGGCCACACTAGTGAATCTGAGTATTATGATAATAGCATTGTATATCTAGATGTAGTATACATTTGCCTTCACTGAAAACATTGCAGTGGCCAAACCGAAAAGCCTTGATCAACAAACACAACTCAATGGGTATTGATAAAACAATGATGCTGTATGAGATGAAACATATGACAATTCATATTCCTGAACTAACAGAATTGTGGGAGTTACAGACCATTTAGAAGGCCTTGTTTTTAAATGTTTCATCTACATAAATTTACTACAGAAATTCCTTGCAGGATGAACTGGATCAGGAATGAGTTATTATAGGTAGTCCTTGAGTTACTAATGTAATAGAACCTGCCCATTCCATTCATAACCTGATAATTCATAGGAGTGAATTGCGTAACTTGAACATGATCACTCCCTCCTTTTGCCCAAGCATTCGCTAATCGAATGCACGGCTTCAATATCTTAGGGTGGGGAAGGCCATGGGGGGGCATAGCAATGGAACAGGCCACCTGCTTCAGACCACCCAAGACCTCCCCTGATTCACTGAGATATCCCATTCTCCCTTCCCTGGGGTCCTCACAATTGCTCTCCACCCCCCATCCTGCTGCGCCAGGTCACTTGCCTTGTGAAGATCTGTCTCCTCACCAGCCTCTTTGTTTCTTTGCATGCTCCCAGCGAGCAATTGAGAGCAGGATGAGCATGCCCTGCTTGGCTTCTCTGACTCACCAAGGCTGCCTGCCACTTCTGGAGTGACAGACAGTCTCGGTGACTCTCCTCCAAAGGCTTCAAGCTTCCCATTGGCCTGCAAACATTTTTTGTGCACTGGAAGCTTCTGGTTGTCCTAATCTCGCAAGACTTCAGGCACCCATTCACTGCAAAAAGTGGATAGGAGTCTGAAATTGCAAGAGATCATGGCTCATAGAAGCTTTCAGCCTCTGACCAAAAAGTGTTTATGCACCTATGGGGTGCCACTTCAAAGAACTCTGCTTCTTTGGGCTTGAGGCGGCCTTTGCTGAAGAGAATGCAGCCCCCAGATGAAGCACACATCATGCTGGAGCTTCATTTTCACCAGGAAAGGCTTTTCTTCAAGGCCTCTGGCAAAGAGAACAGAGCCCCCGGAGTGATGCACAGTTCCTCCCGGCCTTCGTTCTTGGCAGCAAAGGCTTTTTGCAAAATGGCATATGAAGGAAAAGATTCAATGTCTCAGGCCTTCCCTCCATTTGCAAAGCTTTTTTCTGCAGATCTTGTGCATTTGCATCAGATCACCAGAGATCAGTAGCATGAGATCACGTGCTGCTGATCCTGCGTGATCTTGCAGTACTTTAGGCCTCCATTCTCTGTGTACTCACTGAAGGCTTGAAGCACTGAAACAGGCCAAGAAAGTGAAGGCTCTCTAGATCTTCACAGAATGAGTAGCCACAGGCCTAGTGCCTATAAAGACTCAGCATAGAAGTGGGGATTGACAGGATGAAGGCTGTAGAGTCTCTGTGGTCATTCATAAGGACGAACATCTGCCATGAGCTGCAACATTTGTAATTTAGGGACTTGTTCGTAAACATTAGGGGGCGCTTATCACGTAACTACTCATGTTCTGATAAGTATAATTGGATATGGAATTTCAAAATATTCATCTCTTTTCATATTTTTATTTCAGATAATCTGTTATTTTGGTAATAAGCTTCATAGAAAATTATTGCACTATCATACATACTAATGTTAGGTGATTTGAATAAAACATAGAAATCCAACATACTTATTTGCTAGAGGAGTCACTCTTCTATAGCACACTACTTACACATGCAATGTCTTCATCCTATAACACAAAATAGTTATCAAACAAATAAATAAATATTAAAATATAATTTTAAATAATTAAACAATTCTGATTTTACAGAGTCTAAAGATAATTTTACATGCTCATAAGTTGTTTGCTGAGAGATTATTAATAATTCAGAGACATTTATTTTACTAGCGCAGAAATAAAAATCTTCAACATGCACAGATGATATTAGTTAACAACAGAATGGAGATCTTAATACTTAGGATTAAAAAAAAACTACCATACAACAAATACTTTGATGCATGGAGCATGTTTCTCTATGAAAGTACAAGCAGAAAACAATGGTTTTCATATAAAACATATAAAAAATAAGAAAAAAGCCAAAGAAACTATCAGTCCACTGCAGAAGATTGTAGACGATGGCAAGGAAGTGACAAGCAGCATGGAGAAAGCAGAGTTGCTTTAATTCTTTCTTTCATCTTTGTTCACATAAAAAAGAAAAAATAGCTCAACCTACCAAAGACAGAACCGTAAAACTGGGAATTCAAATTAAAATAGGCAAGAAAATGATAAGAGATCCAGGAAACTACAGAACAATTAGCTTGACATTAATATCTGGGAGACCCTGGAAAAGATAATCAACCAACAGAACTCCAAACACTGTAGAAACAAACAAAGCTATAACCAGAAATCTGACTGACAAATGACACTCATGTAATGCCACATCTATATGGAGAGAAGTAAGCAGTGGAGTACTCCAAGGTTCGGTTTTAAGCCCAATACTCCTCATAAATGATTTAGGTGAGGGATAGAAGAGGAGCTCATCTAATTTGCAGATGACACCAGGTCAGGAATAGCCAACACCCCAGAAGATAAGCTAAATATCCAGAGGGATCTTGACAAATTTGAAAGCTGGGCTCTATCTAACAAAATGAAATTCAGTGTAGAAAAAAGTAAACTTTTGCACGAAGGCAACAAAAAAAAAAGATACAGATTAGGTGGAACTTTGCTCAATAGCAGTAACTGCAAGAGGGATCTTGGAAATCTAGTGGACAATCATTTAAATATTCTACAGCAAGGTGCTGTAGCTACCAATAAGCCAATGAAATCCTAGGCTTCATTAAGAGGGATAAAATGAAGATCACATGAAGAATTTGTATCACTTTATAAGGCCTTGGTAAGACCACACTTGGAATACTGCTTTCAATTTTGGTCACCACATGAAAAACATTTTGAGACTCTGGAAGGCATGCAGAGGAGAGCATCAAAGATGATTAGGGGGCTGGAGGTGAAAACATATGAAGAACAGTTGCAGAAATTGGGTATGGCCAGTCTAATGAAAAGAAGGACTAGGAGCGACGTAATTGCAGTGTTCCAATATTTGAGGGTCTGCCACAAAGAAGAAGGTGTCAACCTACGGTATTTTCCAAAGCACGAGAAGGAAAGACAATAAGCAATAGATGGAAGCTAATCAAGGAGAAAAGCAACCTGCAATTAAGGAGAAATTTCCAGACAGAACAATAAGACAGTGGAATGAGTTGCCTTCAGAAGTTGTGGGTGCTCCATCATTGGAGCCTTTAAAAAAAAAACTGGACAGTCATTGTCTGAAATAGTATAGGGTCTCCTACTTGAACAGGGGGTTGGATTAAAAGACCTCCAAGGTCCCTTCCAACTCAGTTATTCTATGCTTGTGTCTTTCTGCTGGGAGAAAGGCATTTTACACTTGAATCTCACTATCTAAGATGAGGAGCTTCTCTCCCCTTCTGGTATCATCAGACATAGAAGCAAGAAATCATCCACCATCCAGCCTTGACCTGAATGTAATACTAATGAAAAAAAAGACAAAAACAAAAAACATATGGCCTTTCAATCTGTTCTGAAACAACGACAAACAGATGTTATGCTACTATCCTTCATTGGGTAAAATAAACTGCCTTCTTCTGAATAATCTGTTAAGTGTAACCGTTCTCTTGATTCAATTTTATTCTGTGAGTGTTTCAACTTTAAATATCATAGCCACATCAATATCATCTCATGATTGGGAATAGTATGTAAATTTCTGATAATTACTATATTGGTCAGGTTTTTCTTCTTTGAATACTAAATAATTGTATCTTTTAACAAATCAACTTTCCAATATTTACAGTTACCGAAAAGGAAATTGAATCAAGAGTATGATTATTCTTACTTGTTCACAATGCTGCAATTTAATTTTAGTATAGTTTACTATTAAGAGTATATAATCAAACCACAGATAAAATCATATCATGAAACATACTTCGAATTTTAAAATAACGATACCTTTACAGTAGTTTCAGGAAGTACAAGTTCTGGAAAGGAACCATGTCTTCTATTTGCACTAATATTCTACAATAAAAACAAAATTTATATTTTTACAATAATAAGATTTTTAAAAGCCTAGTATAGTTTTTATCTGAAAAATGGTTTTAGATTCT